ATTAAAGAAAGATAGCTTCTTTCATAAATGGGTGTGGAAAAACTGGCTTTCCACATGCTGAAGACTAAAATTAGGCTCATATCTATCACTATGAACTAAACTAAAGTTAAAATGGATCAAATATCTATATATTAAAACAGAAACACTAAGTCTACTGGTAGAGAAAATAGGTAGAAATCTCTTTTATGGGTACAAAACAATATATTTAGAAAACAAAGGACATGAGTATGTGAATGTATGTATCTAAACATACATCTAGGAAATTATGCTTCAAACTTGTAATACTCATTTTATTATAATATAAATAGTTTGGATGAAAATAAAGTGTTCTTGAAAAACATTATTTCAAAGAAATAAATACAAAGAGACTTTCATTATATTTTCCCTGTGTCTATGATTTAGGGAGGGAGAGACATAGAAGAAATCCTTTAAAAAGCCATCTAAGGACAGACCCTGAGACCCAGAACTGTGACATCGTAGATAGTCTAGGGATCAAGGGTGAATGGTGAATGAAGATCAGGTAGCAATGCTGAGGAGTATTATGCAAGTAGAATGCAAATAAGCTTCTCAAGGCAAGAAATTTTAAGGGGTAGGCAGAGAGCTCATTAACAAAAGCCAACCTGCATGAAAAACACTTCAAAACATCAACAAATGGGGTCTTGGGAAATGGCTCAGTAGAATAAGCACTTCCCTGGCAAGCACAAGGGTCTGAGTCCAATCCCTGGTTCCGCAAAAAAAAAAAAAAAAGTGGAATCTCATAATTTTTTGTAAAAAAAATACGAATTTTTAAAATTTTATTTATGAATTAATTCCAAAAACTACTAAACACAATACAAAGAGTTCCTGGCTTCCAACATATATGGCTAGAAAAATAAATGTAATAGCTATCTAATCTGCCTCTTGCTTCCAGAAGATCTGTTCTTATTTAAAAAGTTTGCACATCAAAAGAAATCACCAACAGATTGGGAAAAAAATGTTAGCCAACTGTCATCCAGAGGACTTCTATCTAGAACATATAAGGAATTGAGAAACTTCAGGTACCCCAAATTAAAAGACCCAATTCAAAAATAGTCATCTGAGATGAATACACATAGTTCTCAGATGAAAAACTACAAATGGCAAATAAATATATGAAAGACTGTTCAACATCTTTGGGTCATTTGAAAAATGCAAATTAAAACAACCCTGAGATTCCATCTCACCCCAGGAAAAATGGCTATCATCAAGAAATCAAACAATAACAAATGCTGGAGTGGGTGTGAGGAAAAGAAACCCTTCTCCACTGTTAGTGGGAGTTCAGACTAGTACAACCACTAGATTGGTGTGGAAATTCCTCAAAAACTACAATTAGAGGCCCCATTTAGCCTAGCTATTTCCTTTTCTTTCTTCAAAAGAATTAAAAACACCATACCACAGCAATATATGTGCAGCCATGCTTATAATGGCACAATCTGTAATTTGTAATAGCTAAATCTTGGAAACAGCCTAAAGGCCCATCAAACAAGGAATGGATAAAAATACGTAACATTTTTACATAATGGAGTACTACTCAGTTATAAAGAAGTTTAAGCTCAAGGTTTTTATAGATGCCATACTCATAAGTGAAATAAATCAAACTCATGTGTATAAACTAGTGTAAGAAATAATACTAGTGTAAGAAACTAAATGAACAAATAAGAGCCAAAAATCATAATAGATGTGAAAATTGAAGCAACTGATCAAAAGGAAAGAGAACAACTAGGATGGTGAAAAAAAGGAAAAAAGAATATATATATGTATATATACACAAGATAGCTAAGACAGTTATACTACTAATTTCTTTTAGTTCATTGAAAGGAATGGTTTGTGTTTACATTGTTTGATCAATATTGCATGTCTATATCTTGTAATCTGAGCAACTACTTTGACAATAATATGTAATATATTAACCATTGCTAATATCCTATTATCTTGTTTTGAAGTTCTGTACCATTGCTTTTAATTGGGGTTTTTCCACTCTAAAAAATAATATAATTTGGTCACATTGCTACAATATGAATTAGAATCTAAATAACATTAAGCAGGCCCATATACTACAACAGTGCCTAACATTCTCTCTCTCTCTCTCTCTCTCTCTCTCTCTCTCTCTCTCTCTCTCTCTCT